ATGGATTCGTTATTATATTAGAATATTTTTTGATGCTTTATGTCATTTTTCATTTAATAGTCTCTGTTATGTTAATTATAGCTATGCAATTATTTGAATTAATTCATATTTATTACTCTTTTCTCCATTAATGGAGCAATCAAACCATTTTAGTTTTAATAAATAAGTTGTTAAGATTGATTAAATAACTATAATTAGATGAAACTCATAATATTCTGCTCTTAAAAAATTTGAAGTTTGACTTTGACTAATTCACTTAAAATTATTTTCTTTTCCCTCAAAATTATTTTTGAAGACCACTTACTTATAAACTTTTTTTAGCTTCTTTTTCTTCTTACTCTTCGATTATAATGCTAATCGAAATGTAAATGTAATTAAAAATATTTATAAAATTAATTTCAATAAGAAACAAATAAATATAAAAAAAGAAATCTTATTATAATCAACCTTATAATTCGAATCAATTCTGAACTAAAATCAAAAATAATTAAAAATTAAATAAATGACAATAAGATTACTAACTAATAAAAATATATTCACTGATGATTTTTAATTTAATGAGGATTATTATCTAGATATAGGGAAAATCTTTGATTTGCAAGCTATTATATTCCTGGCGCATATATTTTTAAGCAATGATTATTTGGTAGAATTATGAAAAAATCAGTTGTTTTAAAATTAAAGAGGATCTCTGAAACAAGTCTTCAATTACTAATTGAATTTCAAAAAAATATTAGGTCTAAGGAATAAGATTGACAATAAATAGAAAATTTAACACACAAGCAAATCACAATCCTGATTATGAAATATTTTTTGTTCTGTTTTGTTGTTTATGAAAACTATTTTACTAATATGAATTTTTATATTAATAAGGCAATCTTATATTGTTTTAGGAAATTTTAGAAATCTAAATTAATGAACTTATATTTGATAACATAAAGATTATATGAATGGGATTTCCAATATCATTTAAGAGTATATACATTATGATGATCATAATGAATTATATACAAAATTTGATTTATTGATGATTTAAAATTGGTTGAATTAATAAAGAGTATGATTAAATTATAGAGATGAAATTTATTAATTGATGTTTTTATGAGTTTTTGCGAATAGTAAAGACTAAATCTTTGAATTTAACAAGATTGCATTTATTCAAATTAATAGCATGGATTTCAACTACTTTCCAAATATTAAACATCCCATAATCTATAATTTATAGATTAAGCTAACTAATGGATTTTTTCAATGAGCATAATAATGCATCCATGAAAACTATACTAGATACATCTTGTTTATATTTAAGTTTAATAATAAATGAAAACTTTAGTGGTCATATCTATTTAATTATCATCCTATTCGGTGAGGTTATCAATTGATAAAACTAGAATAAAAAGCATTATTAAACATTCGCCAATGTCTATTTACAAATGAAAACTGATGAAAATAAGACTAAACTTCAAGTGTTTATGATATGAATGATAAATGTATTTTTAAGCATTAAAGATTGATGGAAAGATAGAAAAACTGTTTAGGAGGAAGAATTTTTGAGTTTAGTGAAAAGGAATTAGATGATTAACTCAGTCAATAATGTAATTTTACATATATGCAAATCCTCATTAGAGTTTTTTTGATAAATATTGAGATATACTGGTAATTTTCTATGATCAGGAACGAACATACAAGATAATATTTGAAAAAAACTTGATTTTTGAATTTATAATGTAAAAAAGATGAATTTGTCTGAAGAGATTGACAGCTAAACCTATGCATTTATCTTATAAATAATTTAATTTATTTTTAGATATGTTGTAATTGATGCATTTTTTAGTTTCTTTGTTTTATGAGTATAATAAACAATTTATTTTTGATCGATTAGAAATTCAACTGAAAAGTATTCTAATAGAAAACTAGGCATAAGTTAAGGAGGATTTTGTTTGAAAAAGGCTGTAATATTGATTGTAAATCCCTTCATGAGTTCGTTCTGGCCTTCAAAAGAAGTTTAGTAAAATATTAGGTAATATCAAAGATTTTGGAGTTGATGATAATCGTATATAAAATGAATAGGCTAATTTTAAAGAGGTTTGTATGTTATCAAAAATACATATTAAAATGACTAAATATCTTTGATTGGTCTTTTAAATAGCTGTTTTCATTAGAACTCTGTCGTTTATAATGGTGTAAATATTTTAGAACTTAATTCATCTAAACCTATTTAATACATCTGCCAAAGCCTTTATAATATTTCTTGCTGTATCTATGATGTATGTATGAGCTATTTTTTGAAATTCTATCATTTCAATTCATAATTTTGATTCTTTTAATCTGTTAGCAATTTAGTTCGATACTTTTGTACTATTTTATTATCTTGATTACCAATCAAGTATTTCTATTTCTTCTCATCCCAATCATAGCAGAGTGTCCTATCTATCTTTTATGTACTCCTTATTATTCATTAAATTATGAAATCTCATGGCTTGTTCACACAAAATAATGGATGAACCAATTAGTGAAAGATTTAGAACCAAATCCGTTGAAATTTCCAACAAATTTTATCATCTAAAGCAAAGAAAAATTTCGATGGATAAGGAACTTAAGAATATTTGTATTCTCATCATCTTAATATTTAGAAATCTTACTTAGCTAAACTTAATACACTGATGAATTATTTGAAATTTTAGATAAAGATATAATTCAATTTTTAACTAAGTTTCATTTTATTAAGTTTATAGCCACAGAAATTATAAAAATAAAAGAGAACAATTATCATGATGATGAATATAATACATTATATTTCAATTTATTGTTTATCTTATGTAAAGAAAGATCGAAAATTGAAATAATCAAAATACTTTCTTTAAAAAGCTTTAAGTTATATACCTGTGTTGCATCTATGTATGATCTTTTGGTCAAAAAAAATGCACATAAATAAAATTAATATCTTATTAAAGATATTTTTTTAACTTATTCTGAAAATGGTAAAAAATTAAGTTTTTTCTAGGTTGACTCACTTTAATATCTATATGATATAAAATTCAATTTTTTGATAATATGATATTTCTACAGTTTTTGACAAGTTTTTAGCATATATAATCGAATAGTAATTAAAAAGAATCATTGCATTCGTTAAATATTATTTGCTCAGATTTAAAATTACTTTGGAATAAAAAATTACTTAAGAATATAATTCAATAAACTTTAATAAAGTTTGATATGATCAATTTCTCTATTCGAAAATTTTTTATTAATATAAAAATCTTCACATATAAAAGTATTGAGTGTTGAAAAATTATTTTCATAATCATTAATATATTTATTATATTCATTTCCTGTAACAGAATTAGAAACAGATCTAATCTAAATCTATGTTTAGTTTTGTTTTGTTATGATGATATGTTTAGATTTTTGAAATTAATTTATTTGAAATTTTATTAGGTTTTCGTTACTTTTTTAATGATCAATGACTTATTTTAAAGGTGTATTATTTTTTGTATTCTTTACCAACCTATGAATATATTAAAATAATAGCTGTCAGCTTGTTAAAGTAAATAGTATTGTAAAAATAGGAATGCTAGCGCTATTTTATTAGCTGTACACATTTATGTCAATAACTTGGATTTTATTTGAATGCTATGCTATAATATAATAAAAGATTTAAAATAAATATATTCAGGAAAAGTGGAATGATATTATCACAGTAGAGCATCCGTTGTGGAGATAATCTCTTATTTACTTAAACATGGAGATAATAAAATGGAAAAAAACCCAATGTTTAGCCTTTGGTGTCTATAATGAAAATTCATCTAGAAGCAAATTAAAACTACTACCCACAATTGACGCCTATATCAGACTATGAAATTTTGTCAAGGAATACACATCACATAAAAATATTTGAAATTAGAGAATATCATTCATTCAAAAATAAAATATACTTAATTGGCTGAATTTCGAATAATGGTTTAAATATCCTCAAAAATGATCATTTGTGAATAAATTTCCTTTTTCTTGATTAAATAAATATTCAATCCATGAATGTGATGATTACTCTATTTCATTAACATGGCTTAAATCTTTCAGAAAATATTTGAACAATGAATGACAAACTAAGTTTTAAGTTTTTAGTTACTTAAATATTTGATTTTTATATTTGTTTAATTACTATTCTATCTATTTTTAACATTAGTTTTTGATTTTTTCGATGAATTATTCTAATGAATTCATAAATATACAAAAATTAATTACAACACTTAAATAGTGCCAATAATAAATGCAATCAAATCCACCCACCCAATATTTGATTAACAATAATTATATTATTGAATATTAATAAATATATTTTTTTTTCTTATAAGAATCTTTATTCAATCAGACATAATAACAATTATACATATATCATTATTTTTATTATTATGTCTATTAATTGACTTAAAAGAGAATCTTTATCAAAGGATTATCATATTTTAGGTTTATAATTATTGTAAGAAATAACTATAAACAGCTTCATTAAAACAGAATTCAATTTTTCAGCTAAGAGATTAATTAGTATTCTCTGCTTTTATAATATTTCCAAATACAAAAAAAGAATTTAATAAGACTATTGATGAGTGATGAGCTGATGCAAATATATTGATTTAAATTTATATTAGACTGACTAAATTATTAAGTTTTAATATTCTCAATTATTTATTTGAATAACATTCTCAATTTTTTTACTAAATTTTATGATTCATTAATTTTAAAATAGTAATCCATTTTCAAATTTCTGATAAATGAACGAATATATACTGATTATTATTAATCTAAAAATTAATGAATAATTTTAGATAATCTAAACAATTTGTTAATTTCCTATGTATACCTTAGAAACAAAATCTGTATATAATATCAGCTAGTTTAAGTTTTTCTTTGAATCTAAAGTAATTTTATTTAGTTTTCTTTTTATTAGTAATATGTAATCATTTAACAAAAAAAAATTTGGACTAAAAACATATCTATGATCATTCCCCTTAGATTTTTGTCTAAGCTTCATACATTAGAGGTTTGACATACTTGGTAAATCTTCCTTTGTCAGATCCCTTGTTACTTCCGATTAGCTATATGACAAAAAATAATGTTATTGTATTTCTGACACTACAGAAACAATGAGGAGATCATTTTTGGTAGGGTATGGTCGATGGAATTAAGATGGCGAAAAATAGGCCTTCTCTTAAAGTCGACCCAACAGAGAGATAGTTTAAATATCCATCATTTGAGGAAGAAAAAGCCACATTGGAAATTTTTATTACTAATTTTTTTGAAATATCTTTTTAATTTATTTAATACAAAAACTTATTCAATGAGTTCATTATAATAATAAAATTGTAAATATTAACTTCTTTAAGTAAGGAATTGAAAACAAAAATTTGCATCTAGTGGCTTTTGAAATGATAATATCAATAACTAAATTTTACAATAGATCAATTAGAATCATATCAATACCAGAAAGATTCTATTTTTCATCTCAAGTTATTAATGATATTCAAAATTTTTAAGAGATTAATAGCAAATCTTAATTAAAACTAAGATATTATTGTATTTTATTTAATATTTAATGTTTTTTCTATTTGACTTTATTAATTTTTTTTGGATATCTTTATATTGTTTAATAGGAAATGATCAAATATAAAAATTAATAAAGTTGAATATAACTCATTACTTGATTCAAATTCACTTTAAGGTCCTAAATTATTATCTTGCATAACAATGATTAAGATAAAAAGGGTAAAATAAGTACGAATTTCGTAGGATCAAAAAGATAAGGCTGAAGCAAATTATCTATTATATTGTATATCTTAGGGTATATATAATTTTGTTCAATAATAACTAATAAATGATCTGTTTTTTGTCTTTACTGTATAGATAAAATATAAATTAATCAAGTGCTCTGATTAATATTTCGAAAAATAAATATGATATGTATATGTATTTCATATAAATGAAAACAGCAATTTCATTTCGAAATATTAAGGAACTTTTTTGAGTCTGTAATTATTCAAAATTTATTTAAAAAGAGTTCATTTTTAGTTAAAAGTGAAAATGAAATGAGATAAAAGGTATTTATTATCTAATTTTATATTCATCTTAATCTTTGCCTAATCTCAAAAATCATAAATTTCAAGAGAAGTTATTCTTGAGTGTATATTTTCAATAAAATCAGCGGTTTTCTAAAACAACAATCATCATATTTATATAATTTTTCTCTTTGATTTAGAAAATAAAATATGAATTTCAAACAAATTGTTCTCGCTTTAAAATTTTCTATTTAAAATATTGTGATTTTTAATTAACTCTATACTGATTTCAAGTTTTAAAAATTGTAAAATTTTGTGAGAGATAAAATTTAAATAAAAAATATAAAGATAAAGAATAGATAAGATAATATTAACTTTTAGATTAATATTTAATATAATAATTATCTCATTTTTCTGTGAATCTCCTTATTTATATTTCTTTTGATTATTTATCCCAAGTAATCAAATATTCTGCATCATCACTCAATTATCCATAAATTGAATATGTATCAAACTGAATAGATTATTCAACTTTAAATTTAACATTTTATGTAAATCTTATTAAATTTATATTTTAATAATGCTTATTCACAAGTAATTATTTTTATTTAATAAATTATTATGGAAATAATCCACCATAATCATCAGAATTACTTTGATTAAGAGTAATATCTTTTAATTTAGTAAACTATTTACTTACTCTATTCATTTCATAGACATACATCAAATTGCCTTGATAAGGTTGAAATGTGAATAGATTATCGTTGATAAAGCATAATCGATATCCATAACAATCAACTTTTATTTTTTATTTTACAATCCAATTTTTATTAAGTTCTATTTACTC